CCGATGCAGGGGACACGGGTTAGCGCCCCGGTCCGGGAAGATCCCACGTGCCGCGGAGCGGCTGGGCCCGTGAGCCATGGCCGCTGGGCCTGCGCGTCCGGAGCCTGTGCTCCACAACGGGAGAGGCCACAGCGGTGAGAGGCCCGCGTACCGCAAAAAAAAAAAAAGAAATGTTGTAACACTCATGCTCCCAAATAACCGCCCTGATCCCACCCCCAGCAGCCTGCAGTATTTCCAGAAATCTCCCCCCTTGGCTCCCTTCCCTTAGGCTGTCTCTTTCCTGTGAAAATACAAAGAGCAGCCCATTGTGTTAATACTAGCAACTTAGCATAAATGATCCTATGAAATCCCGCTGGCTGGATCAACTCCCATAGGCAGTAATTGTTTTGCCAGGTGAGAGGCGTGGTGGGAAGCACTGTGCTGAGAGGGTCAGGAAGTGCCTTAGACCAGCTTCCCATGGGGCTGGAGCCTGGCCTAGGCGAGCCCTGTAATGTGACGGCTAGGGACAAAGTGAGGTGTCCTCTAAAATCTTAGAAATAATGCCAACAAATTGCTCTCTACTTGTCAAATAGAAGATCAGCCCATAATAGATCAAAGTAGAAATGTACACCTGAAAGAAGGCTCATCACCTGTAGTGTGCTAGTTAATGGTGAACAACCAGCTTGCTGAGGGAAAAGAAAGACCCTGATTTGTAATGTTTGCCAATTTCTCTGGTATAAGCACCCTCACCATGCCTGATTTCCAGCTGCCAATGTAACACCACTGAAAGCAGAGTGGTGAAGAACAGTCTGCTCTCCAGAGCTGGCCACACACACCACAACTCCAGAATCCAACCGAGGGCATTACGACATGTATAGAAAAAGTGTTTCCAGCACAAAAGGAGGTGCTCGGTCATCGTATGGCAGGGAAAGAAAATTTGCCTAGACAGACACTGACTATGCCCAGATGAGTACTCTCCAGGGGAGAGCAAGGCTTGGCAATTTGAACTTTGGATATTTCCAAATCCAAAGACTACATCACCTGCCCCGCAAAATGAATGCATCATTATTTTTCGCTCAACGCCATTAAACTTTGACCTACCTAACACCTCTTATTCTATCCCATTCCCACCAAGAAACTTTTGATTGTGACCTGACTTCGGATGATGGTTTGCCTCCAAGGCGAGTGTACACCAAACACATAGACTTCAACCCCCCTCAACAATGCTTTATTTCAGCAAAGTTTTTACAAAGTAGCTTTGAATTATGTTTTGATTTCCTGTGTAACTTAAGAACATAATGTATTAAGACACTGGTGGAAGTGTTCCAGTCTACAGATCAGTTCTATTTTTCAGTGTAAATTAATAAAATATCATAGTGGTGTCCCACTCAATCTCTCATGTGTCCTAGTGTAAATCCCTTTCTAAAAGCCCATCACTTCTGGAAGCTCATTAGAGCCCACATCTGAGCTTTCAAATACGAGAAAATACCTCAGGGTGCAGTGTCCAAACCAACACAGAGAATTCTACACAGCCCTGGTTAGCTTCCCCTGAAACGCCATGGCCACCTTTCCATCTCCTTCCTCAAGACTCACTTCTTAGCACTGTATCCTCTCTCCATGAATCAGATATCATGAGGATGTATTGAAAATCAGTGAAAACTCATTTGCTGCCATCGTACTTCAAGATGGCAAAATGCATTTGTCAGGATCCTTTCTTTGCATGCAACAGAAACCTCTTTGAAGCTAGCCCAGTCCCAAATTTACTGGATCATGTAACAGAAGCTTGGAGAGGGTCTTTTGATATCAGGGACTCACATGATGATGGAATTCTATCGCACTATGTTGTCTTTATTCTCCCCTAGAGTAGACGGTCTCTCTTTGTACAGCATGGAGCACGGTCACAGGCAGCTCTGGATAGTCATCCTTATGGCCGCATATCTAGAGAGGGAAGGAAGCTTCTCTGTTAGCTCTGGCTAGGAGAATCCCCAGGGAGTTATTTTTTTTTCTTTTTCTTTTTTTGCCCAGTTGGGTACATTCTTTCTTGGGCCAATCACCGTGGCCAGGAAAACATGATAAGATGATTGACCCAGTCTGGGTCGTGAACCATGTGATGTTTGTGGTACTTGTCATAAGAAAGATGAAGGAGGGGGTGTAGGACAGACACCTACAAGAGACCCACATGGACTGACTCACAGCTTGATTTAAGACAGAGTGACGCCCTTTCAATATATAAGGTGAGCTGTGATTTATATAGTCCTTTCACATTTATCAGTAGACATCTGAACCACACCTATTTTGATTTCTGACTTCTCTTAAAAAATAAAAGCTCTGGTAACTCTGGGCCAGCATTTTTCTAAGGCCATAATCATCTAGAGCTGATTAGACAGTTCGTTATTTTTTCTTGATCACCTCTCTGAACCATTTTGCTCATTTAAGTTACTTGCTTTAGCTCCTATAGCCACCTGGGTTTGCTAATCCCTAACATCAACTCATTTCATTTATATTTATCCTGTGAGTGCTAATTATCCAAATTGTATAGATTTTAAACCAAGAGTCAGAGATTCAACTGACTTTCCTAGGATAACACAGTTAGAAGGTGAGATTCAGAACCTAGATCTTAGATTTAGGGTTGTTCAGGATTACCATATAAGGTTGTACAGGTTGTGCACTGCACATTGTGTCTATGTGAATGGAGCCCTCTAGAGTTGTGTAGTTAACACTATATGTGGAAGCCCTAAGACTATTTTCCCTTTCATTTCACCATAGTTATAATACTGTCAAATATTTGGTTAAAAGAAGTCAATTGTCAATTCCTTCAAATGTTTATTATAGAACAAATACTCAGATGACTAAGAGAAATGATGAATGATCAGCTTGGAACAAAGACCAGCAAGTCTTGACATGGATAGATGCTTCATCCGACTTATGGAAATGGTGCAGCTAAGTCTGCAATGAAGAACTTGCTCCCTAATGGCCATAATTGTGTTAAGGGTGATTTCTCTGTCTTGCAATTTCCCTTACTTTACAAGTAATCCAGTCTCTCCCCAGATTTCAGTTTCCACATAATTAAAATGAGAGATTTGTACTCAATTTTTCAGAAAGACAGTAGTAGTGCTTAATCCCAA